GGGGGTAGCAGGAGGAGAGAAGCTGCAGAGAGGCGTGTAAGACTGCAACTCTGCTTCCTGGTCCCAACTCCCAACTTGGATAGTCATATTTTGGGGGGTTTAATAAATTTGTCCATATTTCTAGAAATGCACATCTCCCCCCACCACACTCCCTGCTGGTGGCTGATGCCCCCACCCTTCGGTGCATTGGTGGTTCTGTGTGTCCAGGGCTGGATGCTCGGGTGTTTGGGTGTGTACTGGCTAACTCCCAGCAGCTGCTTGATGGGGCCTGGCCCCCGTGGCTCAGTCGGGCCCCTTCCGGGCTGTGGAGAGCCCTTTTTGCTTGTTTTTTTTCCCCCCAGCAGCAGCTCTGTCTTTTTTTTGTTCCGTTTTTCTTTCCCTCTCCTTTTCTTCAGCTTCTTCCTTTTCTATCTGTCCTGTCTGTTTAGACTGTAATAACGTTAAAGTAAAAAAAATAATAAAAAATAAATAAATAACAAAGATTGAACGAACTATGCAAATCAAGTGGACCACCATGGAAAAAGACGTAATGATCCACTTCGGAAAGTAAATCTGTTGGCATTCTTCTTGACCTTCAGACAATAATTTTGATTGTTACAGTGCCGGACAGGACATACATAAAAATAAATACATAAAAATAAAAATATTATAAATTTCCTGAATTTACAATTACCCTTAGCCATCAGGTTTTTTTTTATTTCTTTTTTGCCTTCTTTATTAATAGGGATAGTGACGAATCAACAGGAAAGCAGAGCAAGATAGAGAGAGGAAGACATGCACCAAAGGGTGGCGGGTCAGACTCAAACCCGTTTAATGCAGTGAGCTAAACCGACGCCCAGCCAGCAGTTTTACATTTCCTTCAATGTCGCCTGCTCTGGCCCCTGGAAGACAATTGACTATGGTTGCCGGTGTCTCTAGCTTCATATGTCTGAGAACAGAATCCGCAATTACCAGAGTTTGATCCTCAGTGGGTGTGTTGCTGAGTGGGGAAAAACGGTTAGACACATGAACATGTAAGGCTGAATGAATGGACTCTATGGCAGAACACACAGAAGCGCAGGGAGGCAGAAAGTGCTCTTTATTTACAGTTTCTGGATTATTTACACAGGGTGGGAGATTGTGTACAATGATAAATAAACGGAGGTAAACCAGGGAAGGGGGCTGACAAGCACTCAGAGGGGAAGGGGTAATCGGCGCACGCAGGGTGGCTCTATGAGAAAAAGGAAAACGAAATTTTAAGGGAAGCTACCAAACGATCTGTAAAAAGCGGCAATAAACATGGTGACAGTTGGAGAGCTCACTTATCACACTGGCAGTACAGGCTCGGGCGAGAATCTCCGGGATGCAAAGGTAAAGATGACATTGATATCTGTAGTGATCCCGGAAATGTGGCTTCACAAGCAGCTGACAGACAAGCGGGTAATGGATCCGGCTAAGGATACAGGACAACAGGTAAGCAAACAAAATCCAAAACACGGGTTGGCCGTAGTGCACACCGCGGAGGTTACCACTCAGGGAGGTGACAATACTCCGACACCAGACGTCTGTCGCGCTGCTCCTAAGTAACGCTTCATCAAATGACGTCTGATGTACCGCCTTGTGCCAACATCCCGTGACACACCGCCCTGCCTACCTGTGCTGAAAAAGGAAGCAAACCCATGACACCACACCAGAGAAACCCCACCAACTCCTAATAGAATAGGTTGGTGGTGTATCTGGGGCTTCTGTTTTAGACTATCCTTCCTTCTCACCATCACCCAGCCCCCCTCTTTGCCCAGCTGCTTGGGATAGTCTGCAGGGAGACCGCTAGAAGGGCCTACACTACCTTCAGCTGCACCGGCTACAGGGGCCTGGCTAGCTACGGGGTTTTCAAGAGTGCAAAGCCGAGTCTCTTATTCAATGATCATTTATTTTTCAACAGGACAATGACCCCAAATACACTGGCAGGTTGTGTAAGGGCTATTTGACCAAGATGGAGAGTGATGCAGTGCTGTGCCAGATGGCCTGGCTTCCACAGTCACCTGACCTAAACACAATGGAGATGGTTTAAGGTTAGATGGAGCGCAGAGTGAAGGCCAAAGTGCCAACAAGTGCTCACCATGTCTGGGAACTCCTTCAATACTGTTGGAAAACCATTTCAGGTGACCACCTCATGAAGCTCATCGAGAGAATGCCAAGAGTGTGCAAAGCAGTAATCAAACAAAGGGGGGCTATTTTGAAGAATCTACAATTTAAAACATGTTTTGAGTAATTTCACACGTTTTTGTTTACTACATAATTCAATATGTGTTCGTTTATAGTTTTGATGCCTTCAGTGAGAATCTACAATGTAAATAGTCATGAAAATAAAGAAAAACCATTAAATGAGAAGCTGTGTCCAAACTTTTAACTGGTAGTGTAAATAAAATTGAACATTGTTATTCCAAGTATGTAAAATTTAAGCAGCTTCCCCTTCGTGATTACCAGGGTTGGGTGTAATGCATTACTGTAATCACATTTCATTTTTCAGTAGCACACTTATCTCATGTGTTACTGTACTAACTTCAATAATTACATTACGGTTAATAAACACTGTGTTGGTACAACAGTACAGCTTTTATGGAGTGGAGACATTGTTTTTATTTACATTGCACAAAAGAGCAACATGTGGATGGTAAAGTGCAAACTGCATCCAGGACATAAACAGCTGTTAACTGCTAACACACATTGGTTCTGTGCAGATATTTGAACAGATAGCATGCCAATGCTAAGCTAGCCAAGAATCCAGAATGACGATGACGCTCTCTCTGTGATAAATGATCACATAAACTTACCGTGGATGCAGTCTTCCTTGATTTTTGTAAGAACTCCCTCCTTACTGAAGTTTCTCTTTCTTCCCTCAGCATTTATATCGTTGTCAATCTTTGAGCGAACAAAGTAGAACTTTTTCTCCAGCTTCTGAATCTCCTGAGCAAGTTTCACGTCATTTTCTCTGAAGCGAGTGTCTGAGATGATGATGAAAAAGTCAAACGTCTCAAATCCAACAAGCTTCAGGTACTTATCAGCTGGAAACTTGGTGGTGCCGATTCCAGGAAGATCCCATAAAGTAACATTGGGATACTTTGGATGGGGGTACAGTTTGACTTCTGAGGTCGTTTCTGTAACACCAGTAGGTGCAGCTTCATCATCTTCATCTGTTATACCCCTGAAGGCATTAACAAAGCTGGATTTACCAGCACCACTTTCTCCTGTGATGGCAATGTTTAGTGGGGCATTCCTTTCCTTCTCTAAATATTCTTTAATCTTTGCAGCTGCTGCAGCAATGTCATTGTTCTTCATTTTCTTCTTAACTCCAGCAATTAGAACTTCCATGCTTGTCCTTGATTAGAGACAGAAGATGTTATTGTAGCAGTTTTCGAAGATATCAAACTGAGTAGACAACACAGTGTGCAGAAATAGAAGAACGCCCTGAGGTACAACTGGAAGGTTCTGTCTACAGAGTTAATTTTTGCAATATAAGGTCACATATACCTTATATACCTGCACTCAGAGCAGGAAAGACAGAGGCTTCAGTTGCCTGACCGCTGTGAATGCTGAGTGTAGGTTAACAGTGGTATAAATTTATTGAATTCATAAAAACCACAAGTCAGTAGCAGCATTTCAGAGAATTTCACAGGGTCTTTTATTTTGAATTTGTTTGTTGTGCTGTTCATCTGTCTGACTTGCTTCCTTCCTCACTCTGTGGGTATGCTCGAAGTTATTTTCACTTAAGAAGGCCTGCACATTTTTCTTTTCTTTTTTTACAGTTCATCCTAATAAACAGTCTCACAGTAATACTTATTGTTATATTTTGATGAAAATTAATTATTTTTAGTTTATATTTTTTTTTCTACATTGTGCTTTCAGTAATTTCATGATCACTTAGACTTAACTTAGAAAATAAGTTAAGATAACTTAGAAACTTACAGATAATAATCATTAATGTCAGCTGATTCATGTCAGCTCATGTTTGTACACTGAAGAACAATTCAGTGTACAAACATGAGCATAAATGTGTTCGCTTACAACTCCATTCAAGTTTAAACAGTTCCCTCAGAGGTGCTTTATATTGTAAATTAAAGCCCCTACAATAAGACAAAGAAAAGCCCAACAATCATATGATCCTCTGTGAGCAAACACTTCGGTGACAGTGGGAAGGACCGCGATCGGTAGGGGTGAGGGAAGAAAGATGGGATAAAAGACATGCTGTGGAAGAAAGCCAGAGATTAAAAATAACTAATGATTAAAAGCAGAGAGGTCTGTTAACACATAGTGAGTGAGAAAGGTGACTGGAAAGGAAAAACTCAATGCATCATGGGAATCCCCGGCAGCCTACGTCTATTGCAGCATAACTAAGGGAGGATTCAGGGTCACCTGGTCCAGCCCTAACTATATGCTTTAGCAAAAAGGAAAGTTTGAAGCCTAATCTTGAAAGTAGAGATAGTGTCTGTCTCCTGAATCCAAACTGGAAGCTGGTTCCACAGAAGAGGGGCCTGAAAACTGAAGGCTCTGCCTCCCATTCTACTTTTAAATACTCTAGGAACAACAAGTAGGCCTGCAGAGCGAGAGCGAAGTGCTCTAATAGGGTGATATGGTACTACAAGGTCATTAAGATAAGATGGAGCCTGATTATTTAAGACCTTGTATGTGAGGAGCAGGATTTTGAATTCTGGATTTAACAGGAAGCCAAAACAGGAGAAATATGCTCTCTTTCTAGTCCCAGTCAGGACTCTTGCTGCAGCATTTTGGAGGAGCTGGAGTAGAAGTGTGCTGTTTTTAAGCCTAATAAAAATTTGTGGACTATGTTTAAAAGCTGTCTCTGTAGCAGAACATTGACCAATTTAAATAATTTGAAATGAATAGAGGGAAATGGAAAAATAACAACAATAAAAAAAACGAATTTGTAGAAAAATGTTTGAGGGTTAACTTCCATCTTATATACTGAACAATTATTAATATTTCCTTCTAATCTTCCTTTAATGTTCGTTCAAAATGTGATAAAAGCTTGATTAGAGTAGATCTCTGAAAGTGCAGTAACTGAATGTAAGGAAGTGATTCTATTGCCTTCAGTGGCGACAGGTTACACTTTGGGCAAACAATATTCGTTTCTTTCTCTCTTTCTTATTTTGATGTTGTTTTTCCTCGAATGACGTTTCTTATCGTTTGGAAAATTCCATTACGTGAATTCCCCTCCCCCCCCTTTCCTTTTTCTCTTAGCTACTTCTGCTTGAGCTGCTTTAGTGACACGCACAGACACACACAGACAAATCTACCCACTAACTCGGTTCTGTCGAGATTAACAACAAATAAGAAGAAACAGGACATGAGTTATTTCACCAAACAAGGGAAGTTTACCTGCGTGTTGGTCTTGGAAAGATGATGAATACTTTATTCAGCAGTAATTCTGATGACGCGGTCTGCACGGACTGGATCCTTGTTCTACTGGCTCAAACTTTCTTTCTTTACCCTTTTGGTGTCTTTAGCCCCTCCCCCTGAAAACAGCAAGTGAAACTGTTTAAACTGGTGACATAAAAAATAGGACTGGCGTTCTGCCTTCCACACATATCACTTCAGCCATTTGATTTTTGTGAAAGCCATCAGTTTACAGGAGTTTCCCCTCAGCAGTGGAACTATATGAGTAACTGTCTTGTGAGTTTGAGGTGCAACAGGAGCTCCATGAAATCCTGACATCCTGTTTCTACGCCCTGATGTATGAAGACAGTTTAGATGCTTTTCATATTTTAGATTATAAAACAGAAACACATGATCCAAATGAAAACCAGTCAGCGTCTTCATGTGTGCAGCAGTGTGTGTAAAGCAGCTGATTTACAAGAAGTGCAGAGTGAAGAGCAGAGCTAAATATCTTAACAAACTGCGCCCTCTGCTGGAGAAAACTGTAGTGTTCATTAGTGTTTATTTAACCTGACTTTAAGCTAACTTTCACTTTCACTGTTTACTTCAAATAACAACTCCAAAAGCAGTTTTTCACATCATGTTTACCTTTCAGCCAGACTGATGTTTGGATTGATTCATATAATTACTGTTGGCTGTGAGCTCATCACTCCTGCTGATATCAAACACAGAAAGTGGAGATAAGTAAACATACCTGATGGATGCAGGTGTCAGGACAATAATGTGGACAGTAACATGTCAGAGGAACAGATCAGAAATGTAGCCACCATGTGGGGAAAAGTCATTATTCACACCCTGATGAAATAAAAACAAATCTATTAATTAGTTATGAGGGTTCTTTACATGCGATCCACAGACTCAGATTAAATTCATTACATTGTTTGTTGAAGCACAAACATCTCTTTATTTTACCGCCCTTGTTTTTCATAAAACAGGATCACAACACCAACAAAATAACAAGAAACAGTAGATCTGCCCTCCCTGAATAACATTTCTAATGTTCATAACAAACTGGTGTTGCGCTCTATAAGTAGTTATAAAACTTACATTCTCTGAATCATTGGAAAAATCTCTAAACACTATTCTTATTTAATATTGTTTTATTTTTGGACACACTTCTAGTTCATTTTTGTAGTTAACGAGCTCCAGGAGGTCAGAGTTCAGACAGTGTCTGAGACGTGAGAACAATGTTTTGCTGATGATACGCTGCTGCCTGTAAACTCCAAACCTGAACTGAGGAGAATAAAGTTGCAAAAAGGAGAATGGAGTCGTGTCTCTCTGAGGGTGCAACACTGACATTCTTCCTAAAAGCATGCACTGTGACAGCAGTAGTATTAATATTAATCTAAATGAAAAAGTGAACTATCAAAGATTTAATATTCATTGTAAATAACTTGTGAAGCTGAAATCCTCAAAATCATTCAAACAAAATGTACATATGCTATAATGCCTTCAGGTCTGCTCTCACTGAAAACTATCGTGTCTCTCAAATATTAAAGCAAAAACATAATTTGTTATTGTGACCCCAGTAAGGACCTGAGACACTCAGTGTGCTTGTAATGAGGTTTTATTTACAAAATGTTCATTTTTTCAGTTTCTCGGTTTCTTGGCCTGACAGTTTCCTGCCGTGTCCACATGTCCTTCTTTCCTCCAGCTCCCAGCATCACTGCATAATTACAGTTATGGCCCAGTAAAATGGACCATATAGTAACTTCAAACTTCAGAGGATAATAACAGGGAGTAAGAGAGAAGAATCAGCAGAAACATCCCTGTGTGCTCTGAGGGCCTGTAACCTTTTATCAGTATGGAGGTCTCAGCTTATCTGCCTGCTATGCAACATTATTTATTTAATGTAATGTATTTAATTCGCATGATAAGGTGGGGCCAGGTTTCACAATGAACTCACCCGAAACTCTGGCTGATTGGGACCCACACCCAGTTTCACACCTTGGCTCAGGCGATTAGAGGATCATCAGGGGTCCTTTTGTCCCTCTGTGGGGGAAACTCCCACTAGGTTTATATCTGGGACTCTCCACCATTTGATCCTAGAACTGAAGAAGCTTCTCGGATGAAGGTGAAACGTCTTCAAGTAACTCAAAGAAGTCCAGACGCTTTTCTTTACAAGCTCCTTTGACTACGATGACCTGGATGACTGAGAACCTTCACAGACATATACAAGAGAGAACCTCCTAAGGGCAATGGAGCTAGTCTGTGTTGACATCCCAGTGGAGGCCTTCCAAGGATGGATTCGCCATTCCAGGGCGTTTTTTCCATGGTGGCTGGCAAGAGACAATATAGCCTGCGATGTGAATGAGGTGATGTGGCCCGATGCAGCTCATCGACATGATGCCGCGCAGTGATTGTGGTGTGTGTGTGGTATGAATAATGTAAATAAAAAAACTTCACACCCTGATCATGTTTTCAGGAGTACTATTGTGTGCAATAGATTCTGTTTTTGCATTGGGTTGTGTTACAGTAGTGTACGTACATGCAGAATTTTCTAAAGATTTATACTCTTCATATGAAACTCACAAATCTAAATTCCCAATCCTCTGCAGAGATCTACGACGATCCGTTACTGTATAGTTTCTAAAAATATGCATTGGCAGTTATGAAACAAAGAACCTTCTCACAAATTGAGCATTGTGTTTTCAATTGTTTTGCTGTAGTGTGTAATGATGTGTATAGTGTTTACATTTTTGAAAGCTTGGAGCTGCTCTTTTGGTGTGAAAGTGGGGAAACCTCGCCCAGGAGGCGCCCAGGGGGCAACCTTGTCAGATGCCCGAACCACCTCAACTGGCTCCTTTCGATGTGGAGGAGCACAGTATATTATTCAATCTTAATTTCTTTTTAGACTTCCTGTGTACCACTAGAGGGAGCCCACGTACCACCAGTGGTACACATACCACAGTTTGAGAACCACTGACATAGACAAAGTTATGAGCCCAGCAACTGTCTTCTAGCATCACTATGAATACATCCCATCTTTCATGTTTGTCAGGTGAAAAAGGTACAATCCAGTCCTCTGCCTGCGCTGTCTTGGACTGTTGAGCACCTTCTGGATTGGCACTCTTGGTTTCACTCAGCACAGCTCAGATTCCTCACCTGGCTTCCTGCTGATACCCCTCCTCACTCCAGGGCCCTTCACCTCTAAAGTAAGCCTGATTTCGGTTTTGCCTGCCATACTCCCTCCTGTCGTCAGCCCTTGGTGCACTTGAATTAAAACTTCCTCACTGTCATCTTGAAATATGTCCAAAAGTGATGGTGACAATAAAATTCTACCTGCCTTTTCATGAGAATGGAATAAACCCAGAATCTGTTTTTTCTCTTTTTTGTTTAATAAAATAAGAACCAGCTCATTATGACTGTGTATTTCCATTTTATTTGAAAGCATAGGATGATTTTTGTGCAAAAACACAAAAACACATTCAGAGTGTAAACTGTTAGGTCTGCGTTCACAGGCCTCGCTGACTCAGAGACTTATCACCGTGAACCAAAGCAAGACGATCAGAGCTCATTCGGTTTTTACTTGCTGGGCAACAGAAAAATATCTAATCACGCAGTTCAAGAGAAGATTTACAAATTTTAGGTACAACAATGACAACCTTTATCTAAATCACTCCAACATAAATAGGTTACATGACAAATACACAACTGGAAAATTTCATATTGTTTTCTTGCAAGGCATTCAGCGTATACTTTAAGAGTTAGGAGAGGTGTGTTGTGGAGTGGAGAATAGAGGAGCCAAATGCAAACAATAACAAAGTGTGGGAACAAACTGAATTTGAAGTGTAAAACCTTGGAACACGGCTTCAACATAACAGACAACCTGACAACAAAAAACAGAAGACTCCCACACTAAATACACAGAGAAGAGAAGAGGGGAGTGGAAACACATGGGGAACACAGCTGATAAAAAAAAATCAACATGACTTCATAGGGGAAGTAAAACTAAACATATTGAACATGGAACACGAGACTGTCAAAATAAAACAAGAAACATAAAGATGCACACCTAAGACACAGAGGGGTAAGAGAGACACGCATATAGGAACCAGTTCTTCTAAGAAGTAAAAAATAGAATTATTTAAGGATCCAAAATGCAGGCACTTCAGATGTGAGGATGCTTTATTAATGGAGGTGGAACAAATACACAAGGCGAGGGTGGCTAAAAACAGAACTGAGTAACCTAAACTCGGAAAAACTAAAGAGCAAACCTGAAATGATAACAGAACGGGGAGAGGGACAGAGAGACGCAGACAGATGCAGGGAAACTACTCAGGATGATGGAGGGAGATAACGCTGACCAGAAAACACCATATAACGCAGACAAACCGGCAACACACAGGGCTTAAATACACACAGCAGTAATCAGGGGATGAGAGACAGGAGGGCAACACACCTGGGAGAAATCAGAGCTAACAGGACAGGGGAAACGTAAATTGAACACACTCACATAAGACGGGGACCTTCAGAATAAAACAGGAAACTCAGACACAGAGAACCAGACAAGACACTGAAGTAGACAGATTCACGAGCAGACAGTGTGACACCATAGACAGACAGAACACAGAAGAGGGACCAGGGTAAGCACAGAACAAAAACCTAACAAATGGCAAATCATAACAGAATACATACTCAGAATAAACAAAAGCATAAAGAAACGCAAAACACTGAGTCGGCAGACTCAGAACCATGACAAATATATATAGTCACTTACTAATACATGTCTGAATAAGAAAGCAGAGCATATGCAAAAAAGGTGTAGCAATAGCAGTTTACAGTGTGTTAGGTGGATGAGTTGTACAGGGAGATGGACACAGGCAGGAATTATTTCCTGTGTCGTTCAGTGGTGCTTTTTGTTAATCTTAGTCCTGCACTGCTGAAACCCTTTTCAAAAACATTTCAAAAACACTTACAGCATCCTCAGCAAGTGCATCAAGGAAATAGTTCAGAACTTTGTAGGTTGCTGTAAATGATAAGCACATTGCTGGTACAATACCAAATATAGAAATCCATCTGGATGCCTCCTCTGCCGCCATTAATGCAGCTATGTCTGCAAATGTGCAAAACAACTCCAGAATGAGCTCTTTGGTTATGTTTGCTGCAGCTAGTTTTGACTTAATGACATCACCCAGATCAGTGTATGGCACACCTGTGTTAGTGGCAAATCTCATAAGAGAGGACTCATCAAGTCCAAATGCAGCCACATAATCTCTGACAACTTTAACAATCAAGCTTACATCAATGGTTGCTGACAGCCCAGGAACTGGAACACCTGCTACAGCTGCAGATAGAGTGGCGTAGTATTTTATTTTTGACTGAAGAGCTTCTTTCTTCTTGTTGATGATCTCCAGGTTGATGTTGGGCATGGCAAACAGCAGAGCATCTCTCTTTAGTTCAGGAAGGTCATTCTTTAAGGCCTCAATTAAGTCAGGGAAGTCGTACAGTTGGAGATCAAAGCTGGACACCAGGAAGACCTGTGGAGACTGGACGCCCAATTTTTTAAGACCTTTTTAAAGAAAGACAAAATGTGATTTAGAATTTATTATTATAAACAATAAACACTGACGTAGACACAAGTTAGGGACACAGCAGCAGTATGTAATGACACAAAGAGGAAAGAAGACCTATAGAGTCTGTGCTTTAGCATCCAGATGTAAAAAAAATGTTGTCTACTGATTTCAAACAGTGAAAATTTTGAGAGATTTTGATAAAAGTTGTCATTGTTGTGGAAACTGAAAACTTTGTCCTGAACTGCATGTTCAGATAATTTTCTATTCCTCCCCTACATGTAGGATGGTGGGGGAGGCTATAGCTATAGTGTTTAACTGCAGGCACATTCTATGTAAATGTTCTGGTGTCGTTATTTGCTAAGGAATATTTACTTCCCGCGGCTTGTTTACAATTGAAGGGGTTAAGCTGTATACAGGGGTGAGGTGAGATGACCCTTTTATGACCAGAGATGTTGTTAAAATGGTTGTAACCAGGAAGTCACGAATACAGACACACACACACTCATATGCTCGCACATACATGTACACACACACAGTGCCTTAGCTTTTATAACACACCATATGGGTTTTGCAATGGGTGCTTGTGTGTTCACTGAATAAAGGCTGTGAGGGGACACTGTTTTTTTGGAGTTGGCTGAGATTAGGTGCGGAGCTTTCAGCTCCAAGATCCTGATCCAACCGGCTTCCCTTGCAAGTTGAATGGATCGATCTCTGATTGTCTTGCTTTGTTCACTGTGATAAGTCTCTGAACCAGCGAGGCCTGCGAGTGCAGATGTAGCATAAGTGTTGAATCAAGGGCGTAGATTTGGCATGGACGGAAGGGACATGTCCCCACCAATAATTTGATCTCTTCGAGTAAAGAAAAACTAACCCGATAGAAAGAAAAAAACGATCTGTCAGCGTCTCATTCACCCAGCGGTGCAGAAAGAGTTAAATTAGTTTTCTACACCAGCGGTCTCCAACCTTTTTTGCGCCACGGACCGGTTTATGCCCGACAATATTTTCACGGACCGGCCTTTAAGGTGTCGCGGATAAATACAACAAAATAAAACTAGTACCAGTACCGAAAAAAATAAGATTTATTCATAACACACGTGAAAAGACCCAGGAAAACAGAGTAAACATAAAAACGATAACAAAATAACGCTGAAAACCGATAAAAACCCTGAAAACTACAAATTTCACACCTGAGCCTCAACTCTCGCGGCCCGGTACCAAACGACTCATGGACCGGTACCGGTCCGAGGCCCGGGGGTTGGGGACCGCTGCTCTACTGGAGTCCTACGTCATGTGACAAATATGGCCAATGTGATTGGCTGAGCCTTTCAGGGAGCTCTGTTTAGTTTCAGCAGCGGCAAACCTGCGCTGGGAGGAGGAGAGGAGGACGGCAGCAAAAAGGAAGAACCTGGATGTAAGAAAGTATTTTTCAAAGAAACCTGTGTGGGGCCTTGTGTATGTTACTCCCCTCCTGTCGCCTAGCAGAGGGGGTCGTAACACCTGCCTCTCCCTTACGCTACTTTCACACTGCAGGTGAAAGCGCATCAAATCCGATTTTTTTGACCCTCTGCGATCATGGTGTGACAGCGTGAACGGCACAAATACGATATTTTCAAATCCGATCTGGGTCACTTTCGTATGTGGTTCTGAATCCGATACATATCTGATGTTTTAGAAAGCTGCTGTTTGATGGTCAGGTCGCATTAAATCCGTCTTTTACGTCACCGACACAAGACAGACGCCAATTATCAGCGCCGGAGAAGACATCGCGCACTTCCATCCAAGTGAAACTGTTGGAACAACGTTGGAGAAACGTGAACATTTTATTTGTTCTGTATAATCTGCAGATTCTGACAGAAATCTGTAACTATCCTTTGAAGCAGCGCTCCTCTAAAACAGCAATAAGGATCATTATTAGGTTATTTACATTATTATGCAAATAACAAAATAACTTAGAGCAAAAATTGGGAAACGTAAAGTCCGAAGTCTTTATATTAAGACCATCAGTCAAACATACTGTTGGTCTGGGTCTAAACAGAGCGCGTTGTGTGTGATGTCTTCTTTTGGCAGCTTTGAGCGTTCACACTAGAGCGCGTTTGCTGTCACATTTTATTTGTAGTGTGAACGAGCAGACACAAAAATCGGATTTGAGCATTAAGACCTGCAGAGTGAACGTAGCCTTAGACAACAGAACACAACGCAATGACAGGCGTAACTTACAGACGGGTTACACAGACCTAACAAAAATGTAATAAAGCAACTTACATTTTCACAATATGAATAATTAAAAATGAAACTCACTGTTGGTGCAGTAATTCCTGATTGTTGTAAGAGTCCCCTCTGTACTGAAGTTTTTCTTGTTTTTTGCAGTACGTATATCGTTGTCAATCTTCGGACGAACAAAGTAGAACTTTTTCTTCATCCTCTGAATCTCCTGAGCGAGTTTCACATCATTTTCTCTGAAGCGAGTGTCTGAGATGATGATGAAGAAGTCAAACTTCTCAAATCCAACATGCTTCAGGTACTCATCAGCTGGAAACTTGGTGGTGCCGATTCCAGGAAGATCCCAGAATGTAACATTGGGATAGTTTGAATGCTGGTATGCTGTAACCTCCGTGGTGGTTTCTACAAAGCCGGTAGGAGCAGCTCCCTCATCACTCTCACTCAAACCTCTGATGGCATTAATGAAGGTGGATTTACCAGCACCAGTTTCCCCTGTGATGGCAATATTTAGTGGAATATTATCTTGTTTTTCTATATATTTTTGAATTTTTGCTACTGCTGCAGTCTTGTCATTGTTCTTTAGATCATTTTTAACCAAAGAAATTAGATCTTCCATAATGATCCTTAAACAAAAGAGAAAAGAAAGCTGTTAGTATTAATATTGCAGTGATTCTGACTGCAGACTATATATATAAATAGAAGATCTTTTTTGATAAGGTATGTACTTTCAGATGTAATTTGATATCAATATCTGAAAAATTAAGTTTAGTTTCATTTGTATAGCAACAAATCACAACAAGGTTATTCCAAATCAAATTACACAATCGACTCCAGCTTGCATAAAGATTTTTTGGTAAAAAATGTGAACACTGAAACAGTGAAATTTGAGATGTATTTATAAGATGTACTTTAAAAAAAAAAAAAAAATTTGTCTCTCAACTTTCTTTCAACCACAACAGAACCACTTTCAATAACCTCTCTTTCAGAACATGCAAAAATGAGACAAAAGGTAAGTTCTAGTCACAGGTTTGACTCTGAAGCCTGTTTTACTCTATTAAAGCAGACTGGCTCTAAACATTGTGCTGAGGTTTACGTTAAATCCACATCATGTGACAGATCACATTTGAGGTTTTATACCTCACAATGAAATGCTGGAAGTATGCACTGTTTTGTTCATTATAAGAAAATGTGAAATGCTCAGCATTGCAAAAGATCTTTATTTGCCAGAACCTTTCACAAACCTTCAATTATGCTTCCAAACCACAATGTTGAAATACCTGCCATTTAACTGCACAGCACATTTTTAAATATAATTTTATATAATTTAATTTCAGATTGTTAAAATAGAAAGAGAGAGCAGATTTCTCCTGTTTTGGCTTCCTGTTAAATCCAGAATTCAAAATCCTGCTCCTCACATACAAGGTCTTAAATAATCAGGCCCCATCTTATCTTAATGACCTTGTAGTACC